TTAGATGTATCGAAATCAGATACTAAAACTTACCAAGAAGTTAAAGCAAAAGTAATGTGGATGTAATTTAACATAATGTTAGCCAATTATAACCTCGTTCAGCTTCTCATATAAAATTTTGTAGTTGATAAATAAAAAGACCCCTTTATGAAACTAGCACATAACTGTTCCCCCAAAAAAAAACTGATCAAAAACACAGAACTTCTTTGGCAAATTAATGCATTCATTAAGTAAAGTGCATACATATAAGATGTTAATAATACCAACTAAACACCTGTACATCTATATAAGACGTCAATAATACTAACCAAAGATTAATACAAAGCTATATTAAATCAAAATTATTCTTACAAATTGAATAGTAATCCGTACAAAGGTGCACCAAAGTTCATCTACTGATTATTACGATAAGAAATTCAAAGTTTAAACATGTTGTAAGCTAAAAGGTAGACTATGCCTACAAATTTACAGTCAATTCACTTCTTTGGTTTAATAAGAAGTTTTTATCAAAGAATCTCATAATTTCTAATTTTTCATGTCAACATAGAAAACAGGGTTCATTTAAAAATATACATTTTCTAGCTTTCTTAAAATTTTCCATTTTACCTTAGTAGTTTTATTAGCCTTTTTTAAATCCCAAAAATATTTAGAAAGAGATGTACTATGTTCATAATGATAAGACATGCTAATAATACCTAGTCTTAAAAGAATTCTTCGTACTACCAATATAAAATTTTTCAACAGTTGGACTCAGTATAAACAAGAGAAGTTCTTAAATATTGGTTTCGTAGTAAGCATTCATTAGAATTCTTGCGATTACATTGTTTAATATCATCAACAGTATACATCTTGTAATATACATTACTATCCAGATTTTTAAATGGTTTTAAAATTTTATTTTTGTGTTTCTTTATAATCCTCAAGATTATCAGTGCAGGTATAACTTAGTTTTAGTAAAATATTTAACAGAAACACACTGAGAGGATTACTTTCACAGAAATGTTTATCAATTAAATAGAGGAAATTCTGGTCTAACTTAGTACTGACTAATTGGTTAAATAGGGGTGCATACAAAATGATATTTCTATTCTTAAGATCAATATTATATTTTATATACTTGATTTCGGCTTACTTGTAACCACTATTTTTTAAAGTGGTATTATAAATACGGCTATATTTATCAAACACATCTTTGTCAGATGAGTTATTGTTAATCCTACATTCTATAGAAGAGTGTATATGTTTGATTTCATATGGAGGTGGTTGGTGTATGTGTATATATATATATATATATATATATATATATAAACAAAAAAATGTATGTATGTATATATATATATATATACATGTGTGTATATATATATATAAATATATATATATATATATATATATATATATAAAACCCATTTTTTATATATATATATATATAAAAGTATATATATATCTATAAATATATAAAAACATATCTATAAAAAACAAATTATAGAAAAAACACACACATAGAAAAACAATATATATATAAAACAGTGTGTGTGTATGTATATATATATATATATAGAAAAACAAAGTATATATATATATATATATATATATATATATATATATAGAGAGAGAGAGAGGGGGAGAGAGAGAGAAAGAAAAAACACAGTGTGTGTGTATATATATATATATTTGAAATGAATTGAACATAAATTTCAACATTTGTAACAGTAATTTAAAAGAGGGCTCAATACAACAGTAGAGCAATATTCTTTATTTTAGAATATTACATTAGCATTTGAATAATACTACACAAATGCAATAATGTTTCAATGTGTATTAACACATTTTATAAGTAAATGACTAGTTAGTAGACAATTTGAGATTTAAAACCACATACAGCCTCTTTCATGTGGAAAAAACACAATGTTTGTGTGTGTATATATATATATATATATATATACACACACACACACACACAATCCTGGTCAAAATCTTAAGACCAGACACAAAAGGGATTAAAAAAATATAAAATACTGTTACTTTAACCAAAATATATTTGCAAAACATTTACATTTAATTTAGAAAATGTAGTTTATCTATAAACAAGTGAAAATTTTAAGCTTTTAATTGATTAATTTAAACAAACATTGAAAATGTATTTTTAGGTTGGTCATAAAGATAAGACCATGTCTAAAAAAATAAATTACTGAACAAAAATTTTAGAACAAGTCAGTGTACTTCTAACTTCAGGCATGTAGATATCAACTTAGCTCATTTCCAGCATTAAATTTCATATTTTAAAATGGCTAAAGGTAAAATTTTAACAAAGTTCAATCAAGGCAGGATTTTTGAACTTCAAAGACATGATCTTTCACAATGAGCCATTGCAAATGAAATTGGCCATAGCAGAACAGTCATTGCTAACTTCATTAAAAATCCTGATGCGTATGCTCCTAAAAAATCAAGCGGTTACACCAATAAAATCTCGCCATCAGTTTTCAGCATTGCTGGCATGCAAAAGATGTCCCAAAAGAAATTTTCTCAACATGACACAGTAGAGGTGGATCAATTATGGTCTGGGGTTCATTTTTGTACAATGGAACTCTTGAGTTATAGGAGGTAAAAAGGCATCAAAGAGTTACTAGTTACATTGACATGTTAAGAAAGGCATCGCTAATTACAAAGGGCCTCATCTATGTGGAGAAAACAATCTGAACAAGGGAAGCATGCTCAAGCCCTTGGCCATGATGACTTGTGGCTAGCACAGCTATTGACGACTGCCAAGAGTTCTGTCTACCAATTTCACTCCCAAGGCTTGGGTCAACCCGTAAACGTTAAGCCTCCCTAGTGGGGAATTGAACCCCGGCCTGCTGTATGACAGGGGGATACTTACCACTATACTACTAAGGATTAGGCATACACTATCAATTCATATATATATGCATTCACGCACACACAATTCATATATATATATATATATATATATATATATATATATATATATATATGAAGAAATATAGTCTTAAGATGTGCTATATTTATAGGATAAAGTGCTCAATATCAGAGACAGAGCATGTGTAAATATAGAAGTGAACATAGAAGTCAACACTTAGAGGTGCTGTTCTTGTGGCCTGATGATTGCATCTAGCATGAAACAGGCTGTTGCCTCTAAGTGTTGTCTTGTATGTTCACTTTTATATTTATATATATATATATATATTATATATATATATATATATATATATATATATATATATAAAATAACTAAATTCTTAGTTTCATGAAGAAAAATATACTTTTACTATAGCCTTGTTTATATCATTTATTCAGACTAGAAGACTAATCACATATACTATATACTGCATATGATACATTGAAAATTTTTAATTAAAATTCAGCTAATACCTCGATGTTTGACTACAGAGTTATTGATCCCTCACATTCACAAAAAGATACAGATATATATGTGAATATTTGGTTTTGCCATTTAGGATAATTCATCTCAGTAGTCTTTCATACCAGTCTGTTTATTAACCAACACTTGCAACTATGCCATCTTTATCCAACTCAACAGATAATAGCGGGATTTTTTTTTCTTTCCCAAAAAGTCTTTGAGAAAGAAAAAAAAATTTATATATATATATAAATGAATAATTTCTGAGTTCATATCAGTGAAATAAATTCAGGCCTTTTTTTCCTTGCCTTTGAGAGAAAAAAAATTTACTTGCATCTTTATCATCTTTGAAAAAAATTCAATAAGCTATCTTTATTCATTTCTTTTCAAAGAATAAATGCATACCTTTCTTTGTTCTTTCAAAAGGATATTATACAATGGAATTCTTTTTTCATTCAAAAATCCTGAAATAGTTAACTATTCGCTACTGTATATGTAAATCCAGTACTTGACCAAGTTGAGAGCGTAATATTTTCATATCGATAAAAGGTCAAGATCCTTGCCTCCTTTGAAGACAAGTTCTTTCTCTGCATTCTCAGATTCACCAAATGAATTTGGCTATTATGCAAATTTAACTCTTTTGGCTATCACGGTATGTTTAGTTTTTATGGAAATTGTCTATCTACGGAAATTAAAATAAAAAGCAATTGAAAAACAAAATCAGTCATTCAATGAATATTAATGTTAATAATGATGATGAATCCAATTGAAATATTTTCTTCTTGTGAAAAGCAAACATTAAAAGAAATAAAGGAATTAAGACAAAGAGAGTCAAGCAAAGATAATGACAGCTGAGAAATTGAATTGAGGACAAAGTCATAATGGCTGCCAACGAAGCTAGCAGGACATGAGTGACAGTTAATAGTAAATTATAACTAAGAATTATTATTCAAGATAAAAGAAATGGAGCAGATATCAAGGAAGTGTGACAGTCCAAATATCATGGCAGGTCAAAGATGCATGAATCGGATTTGTCTCATTATTAAAAATGGTAGAAATCTCTTATAAAGATGAAAAACTTTAGGCCAATAATTCGATTAAGTCAAGAAAGTAAAAAAATTTAATTATCTGGAAAGTTTTTTTTTAACAGATCACAGAAATGTGATACAGAAATTTGAAGGTGTGCTGGAAAAGCCAAAGATGGCTTCCAAAAGCTAAGAAAATTTAAGAAACTAAAACAAATTCATTATAAATAAAAAAAAAAGAGGATAAAATTGCTATGTGATATCAATTCAACTATAAAGGCAGTGAATACTGGACATTTTTCTCACAGATGAAGTGGAGATTTGAAGTAACAAAGTTGTAGTTTTACAGAAGGATGCTGAGGATACTATAGATGGAGTATGTGAGCAATGAGGCTATTTTCAGGAAAACAGAAAAAAATTGTACTTAGAATCAGAAAGCGTTAGTTGAAATTACTGGAGCACATAACAAGGAAATAGGGCTCTGAGAATTTGACATTTACAGAATATATTAAAGGCATGAGAGACCGTAGTAAGTCGTAATGTGCTTGTATAAATGGTTGGCAGAATAGGGATTAATGGTGTTATCAAAAAGATAAAACTTACTGAAACAAAAGAAACAAGCAGAAAGAAACAAAAGGAAAGAAACAAGAAAAAAGAAAAACAAACCAGAAAGAAACAAAACAGAAGCAAGAAAGAAATATAGAAAAAGACAAAAACAAAAAAGAAAGAAACAAATAAAGAACAAGAAAGAAACAAACACAAAACAAGAAAGAAACAAACACAAAACGAGAAAGAAACAAAAACACAAAGCAAGAAAGAAACAAATACAAAACAAGAAAGAAACAAACACACAACAAGAAAGAAACAAAAACACAACAAGAAAGAAACAAAAACACAACACAAGTAAGAAACAAACACAAAACAAGAAAGAAACAAATACAACACAAGAAAGAAACAAATACAAAACAAGAAAGAAACAAACACACAACAAGAAAGAAACAAACACAAAACAAGAAAGAAACAAATACACAAGAAAAAAACAAACACAAAGCAAGAAAGAAACAAATACAAAACAAGAAAGAAACAAACACAATACAAGAAAGAAGGAAAGAAACAACCATGAAACAAGAATGGACAAATGACAGGCAAAGGACAAAGAAAAAAATTAAAAAAAGGAGAATGGAAAGAAATGAATGGAAAGAAATAACCATTGGCAAATTCTTATAGAAAGATTTCCTATTGACTAAGTTCCAACAAAAATAACCTGAAACTACTATCTAACAAATTCCATTGGAATCATCAGATTTACCTCAGTTTCTTTTTCCCATTATTATTTTTATTAGAAAATACTGGGTTCATTCAAAAACAGAAATTTGAAAATGCTACTGGGAAAATGTTTCTTTTCAAGATAGTCAAAGAAAAGAACATTTCAATTTAGTTCTCCGAAATGAATGTACCAAATTATGTGACCTACAATTGAGTGAAAATATTTTGAAAATATATAATTATGATCATGGAGGCAGTAAACATTTTGAAAATAATAGAAAATTAAAACAATATTACAGGAGTATCCTAGTCTTTGCCATTCTGTATACAATATTGAGTGTAATTTTCATTTACTACTTGCTTGTATAATCAATCTATAGTACAATCCTTTGCTCTAGACATCTGGCATGATTCTCTAAATAATTTAGACTAGTTTCATCTTTATTCACTGTTGCCTGAAATTCTCAGAAAAGTGTATTGTCAGAATTCCATGAATTATTCAGAATTGTATCCTTGTCTCCCCTTGGGAGAAGTAAGGCAAAGGAATGAGAGGAGGAGAAAGAATCGCAAAGAGAAACAAGATGAATTCTTACCACTGGGATAAAGATCAAAAAGGTAAAAAAAAAATAGAAGATTGCATTTTACTTGGAAGGAAAATGACAAGAGAGTGGAGGAGGAATTCTTTCTACAAGGAAGAAGAATAGCAAAAAAAGTGGCTGAACATTTTCCGCAAAGAGGAACTAGAAAAACTGGTTAAACTAAGAATGAGAATAACAAAGAGAGGAAGAATTCTTTCAATGAAGCAATATGACAAAGACTTAAATTTCGATGGAGAAAAGAGTAATTATTCTTTCCATGGGAAAAAGTGGGACATTTTTTTTTTTATAAAGGAAAGATGAAGAATTCTTTCCATGAAAGTAACACAAAAAATTTTTTCTATGAAAGAATGTACAAAGAATTTTTTTACTATGAGAAATATAATGAAATGACTGAAATGTAAGCATGACAGTGTTTATATTTAAAGAAACATGAATAAACCACAATTTTAAAATGAAGTAATGATTTTTTTAATTACTCCATAAATAACACATTTTTATGTTCTTTCTTCAATTACCAATTTGTTGTTTCGGGCAAACTGCCTGACAGTTATCAGTCATGTGGAACCAATTTTTATATAATTTTCCGATTTTATACCCCAAGCCATAACATTTTAATGATGCCCAAGTACCTGTACAGTATGATCATGCAAACTAATTTACTTCTCTGGTATCACATAAAGTTTTCTATCTATATAGCTCATTCCAAAAAAAAAAAAAACACAAAGACAATTTTAATAGTTCTTTTCACTAAAAAATATCACACGACAGTTGGTAGTTCAGGTAGATGCAGCTAAATATCATTGGCTTTGGCAGAATCTGATTTCACAAGTGGAGGTGGTGTGATGTTGTTGGTGTTGGATTATAGGCGGTGAAGCTGTTCAGGATGAGAGCTCAGATATAAACTGATTTTCTGAAGGCATACATGGAGCCATGGTTCAAGCCAAAAACTTTCAGAAATATGATGATTTTATGCGTAACAGTACTCCGTCACCTTTAGGAAAGGTAACTAATAAAGATCTGAATAAAATGGGTTCATATGATCCTTAAGTGGCAAGCTTGTTTTCCTAAACTTAATCTGAGTGAAAAAATGTGGAGCATTTTAAATAGGAAGGTTTACATTGAGTGATGATAAGCAAAGACAGACTGTGGAATTCTGTTCAGGTTGCTTTGCAGTGTATTTCATGTAAAATATGCTATTGATTTTAGAATTAAAAATAAATCCACTATTAATTATAAGTTTAGAAAAATATGCAATATTAATTCTAGGTTTCTATCTATAAGCCTAAGTATCCCAAAAAAGGATGGTGGGCATTAATGGATTAATGATGTGAAATAAAGTAAAATCTTATAAATTCCGCAAATCCTTCCATTAATCCCTTCATTAGTTCCGTAAAAGTTAAAAAAAATTAAAAATGGTTAATCCATTATAATTATTTTAAAAACACAATTACATGGGTCAACAAAAAAAAAAAAGATTTTGAAATGGTATCAAGATACCAAACATCTTTTTTTTAGCTAATTTTAGAGTGCTGAATCTGAAAATGACTTTACTTTTTCTCAGTTAGCTACCGTTTTTGCTGTACAGAAATGCCTCATTTTTGGAAAAAAGATTTTTTTTTCATTTGTTTTCTGCATATATGATATTGACCAATGGCAACATTTCTCAAAAAAAAATCATAAAAACTTCTCAATTTGTATTCAAACCAACAAATATTGGTCTGCTTATTGAGAAATACTATTTTTACAATAACAATCAGTCCCTAAGTCTTTCAAAAGAACATGATTGAATATCCCAAGACTAACAAGTATTTTCATGAAATCATTTAATAAACTAACAGCAGAAATAAAACCTTCTTGAACATAAGAACTATGGTAAAAATTTTTTAAAAATGGTTGTTTTCACATATCCTTTAAAGGAATTCATTTTTTCCTTATGCTTTCTGTGGCTTAACCATTGCCTTGTGTGTGTAGTAGTAAGTCAAATTCTTGTTGAACTTGTGGAGAAAATGTTCCTCTGCTTAAGAAGTAATAAAACAATTAGAATTGGTCAAAGAAATGGGTAAGGAAGGAGGTCTTTGATTTTAGCATTTTATGAGCTCTGTATACATATTCCTTCTCCATGTATATATATTGTCTTATTACAAGGAAATTGTGTGTGTGTGTGTGTGTGTATATACAGACATACACTTTGTATGGTGTGTAGGGTTTGCATGTGCATGTTGTCAGTCTAGTGTGTGTTTGCCAGTATGTGTGTGCATATACAGTGTAACCCGGATATAAGAGACCCGGATATAAGAGAAACCCGGATATAAGAGAGATTTTCTCTGGTCCGAAAGTGTTCCCATACTTACCTAAACAAAATAGACCAAACCTCAATATAAGAGAAACCCGGATATAAGAGACTTCTTCTCCGGTCCCAACAACTCTCTTATATCCAGGTTACACTGTAATCATTCTCATACATATTTCTATGGTGTGTGTGTGGGTGGGGGTCTGACTAGTGTAGTCAGCCACTATGTGTGTATGGTGTGTGTTTATGTGTGTATGGTTATGATTTGTTTAGTGCTGGTTTAAATTTGTCTATAAAGTTTTTTATCTTGTATTTGTAGGTAAGAATAATTGTTTGATAGATTGGCATAATTTTAAATTTACCTTCATTGCATTTGTAGATGTGTTGTGACACAAAGTTTCCATTATTTAAAAAAAAAGTACTACTAATATGACTATTACATAGTCAAAAATACAGTGTGGAATAAATGTGATAAGAAGAGATTATTGTCATCCTAACCAGGTTCTCCTCCAGTTTCTTTCATACAAACGCTGGTGTTCCCCAAGGCTCTATCCCGGGTCCTACACTGTTCCTGATCTTCAACAACAAACTTCCTGATGTCATCAGTTCTCAAATAGGCATCTACGCAGATGACACTACCATTTACTACTGTCTCAATAATAAATTTAGCATTGCTGGCAAAGTTAACCTGGTCTCGAAAAAGACCTCCAATCTGTGATTGACTTGTCTAAGAAATGGCTTGTAAGCATCAGTGCCTCCAAAACAAAACTGATCTCATTTACCCACCATAGAGAACCCTCCATGCCTGCTATCAGCATGGCTGATGCTCAAAACAAGAGTATCTCTCTGCAACTTCTTGGTCTCATGTTTTCCACTGGTTCTCCGTGTCATACCAGAAGGTTTTTCTCATCCGAGTCCATCCTTCAAATCTACCATTCATTCTTGCATTGAATACTGTTGTAATATATGGTCTGGTGCCCCTGCTGTTCATCTTGAGGTTCTAGACAAAATCCAAACACAGATATGCAATGTGATAGGTCCTGACCTGGCATCTCAACTCTAGTCACATTCTCACAGACATTTCCCCTGACTTTTCTACAAATATTTTCATGGCAACTGCTCTGACGAGCTACTTACACTGGTTCCCCAACTGCATGAATTTAAGTATGCTACTTGATTGGCATCTTGGTCCCACCCTTTCACTGTCAAAACACTTAAATATAACTGCCTCTTCTACTCCAACAGCTTCTTTTCACACACTTCCCAACAGTGGAACTCCATTCCTCTTACTTGCTTCCTTGATAGCTATAATCAAATATTCAAATGTAATGTCAGTCGACATCTTCTGATTCCTTGATCTTGATTCCCATCATTCTCATTATCATTTCCTCAAACACCCCTCTTTACTCTTACTCTCTGTAGCCCCTTGCATGGTAGTGGCATTTCTCCCTTGCTCAGGGTAAAATGCTTGAAAAAAAAAAGCAAATGAAAAAAACTTTGCAAGATCATTATAACTTTGATAGAATAATTTGTTAAGCAAGCATCTATAAAAGACAGAGCACCCAAAGCACTTTTTTTTCCTACCTACTTACATAGTCAATAATACAGTGGGGACTAAATGTGCTAAGAAAGAGTTTGTCACACACAGATTACAGATGCAAAACCCTGCCTATTACAATTCTGATAAAATAAACAGTTAAGCAAATGCTTAAGACTGAGCAGCCAAACTCTAACATGCAAGATAAACTCTACAATTTAATGAAAAACCTCAACAATTGATTGATTAAAGACATTCTGTTAGAAAAGAAAAAAGAAAAAAAAACAATAAAAAATCTGAGTATTAATGAGAAATACCCTACCTGGAAACCTCAAAAACAATATGTCTTCTACCAGTATTATGAATATTATATAGTTAACAATACAGTGAAAAATAAATGTCATGAGAAAGAGATTGTTGGAGAATGTCTATAAATGAGAACTTTGCTTTTGTATTCTAACTGGTTAAACAAATGGTAATAAAAGACAGGCCCCAAAGGTATGAGATGCACATTAAAGT